TTTGTAACCTGCAAAGTTTGGATAGCCACAGGACTCTATCCTTGGGACTCTATCGTTTCTGTGAGAAACTCATTGATACTTTTTATTGGACCTATAGTTTCTGTTCAAAATCCCCAAATTTACAGTTAGTAAATTTTAGAACTCATATACCCAACTACCCACATGACATCATTGGAGATGTCAAGGTGGAATCTCAAATTTAACAGTCAAATCTGAACCTGTTATTTCCCCTAAAACGTGTTCCTCCCACAGTATTTCCAATCTTAGCAAATTAAAAGGCTTATTCTTATCATTATTCAGACCACAAAACCTTGGACTCAATTTTGATTCTTCTATTTCATCTAGTTCCCATATAAACAGACCAGCAAAAGTGAGACCTCTTTAAATGGTCTCCTCCACTCCCTTCTGATTTTACCACTCCTAGTCTCTTCCTATTCTCTTCCATTCTATTCTCCACACAGAAACCAGAGTGAGTCTTAAAACATAAGTCAGGTGGGACCAGCAGATGGCATAATGGTTACATTGCCAGACTCCCATGTAGTCAATCGTGGTTCAAGTCTGGCAGCTTGGAACTCACCCCAGGTGGGTATGTGTGCATGTGTGTCCAAAATCCTGAGAGAAGACTGAAGGAGAAGGGATTGCAGTGTGGCCATCCCCTCTGGGGGCTGATTTCTCGCTTTCTGTCTTTCTGTCTCTCCCACGATCACATGTGACCTATAGCAAAAATCTCTATAAAAAATAAATAAGTCAGGTAATTTTAGCAAAGAATCTTCCACTCAAATCTAAAGAGCTTCCAGTGGTTTCTCATCTTATACAGAGTAAAAACAAAAGTTCCTGCAATATTGGTCCTTTATTCTCTGAATATATCTCCTTTTCTCTTCTTTTTTGCTCACTCTGTTTTAACCACAATAGCCACCTTGTAGCTCCTCAGCCATGCCCAGAACAATCATATATCAGGGCTTTTATACTTGCTCTATACTCATGGCTTGACTCTTTTAAGTTTTCACTCAAAAGAAACCTTTGTGACCATCCTATTTAAATTAAAGCTCCTTCCCTCCACCTTGGTATGACCTGTGCCCCTCTCCTGTTTAATTTTTCTCTGTATTTCAAGCACACACACACCCACATATGTGTATTTATATAATCATCATCAATCATACTGTAAGTTATACATGTTTGTCTAATTAAAAAATAAACTCCATGAAAGTAAAGATTTTGCCTGTTTTACTCATTGTTATAATAATGTTTGGCACAGAATAAGTATACAAAAACTATCTGTCGAATGCTGAAAGCATTTATAAGCATTCCCATTAATGACTAGAGACAGTGATATCCATTACACCTGACATCAAAATTGTTAATTGCATAATGAGTACCTTAGATTTATAAGCATCAACTTGAGGAGACCAAAAAACAATGAAAACTGCTGCAAAATATTCAATATGGTATGATTAACATAATTTTAATATACATACAAATAATAATACATATTTTTCCTCAATAATATACTAAGCAAAGTTCTAAAAGCATGAACTGGATCCATGGCTTTGGGTGTTTGGAAAAGTTAACAATGGGAAGGTGATTGGAGAAGAAAGGATTTTGACTTTATTTGATCATTTGTTTAAAAAAGATCTGAAGTAGGGCCAGCAGGTGGTGGAGTAATCAAGGTGCTAGACTCCCACATTCAAGTCCTAGACCTGGCATATTGAAGCTCATACTAGGTGTTTTTGCCCAAAACCCCAAAAGGAGACTGGAGAAGGGATTGCAACATGGCCATCTCCCCTGTGGGGTGACTTCTCACTTTCTCTCTCACTGTTCCTCTTTGTCTCTCTTCAGGGAACACACGCACTCTAGGGCAAAGATGTTAAGAATAAATAAATAATTAAAAATAAAGATCTGAAGCAAAAACAAAAAATCACTTCTTGTTTAATTGAGATAACGGGCATAGGAGTATATATTTATTGTTTTTTTTTTGTGCTTACCTGTATTTAGTTTTCTTCTGTAGCACACACATATACACACACAAACACACAGAGCTTTATAACAGATTTTTTTTTTCTCAGATGGTGTGTGCACTCACCAGAATCAGAGAGGGAGAGAGGGAGAGAGGGAGGGAGGGAGGGAGGGAGGGAAGGAGGAAGGGGGAGAAAGAGAGAGAGAGAGAGAGAGAGAGAGAGAGGACACATCCCCTTATGGGAAATAGTTTCAATCTCTTCTCTTCCACCTCCCTCTTCTTTTGAGATTTCAGGCATGCATGCATATGTGCCCAGTTGTTTTCAAGCTACAGAGTCCAGGACTCAAACAGCATGGTTGGCCATGTGGGATCCAGCTCACATAACCACCAGGCTGCAGGCGGACCAGAGATCGTTTCCTTTCCTTTCCTTCCCTTCCTTTTTTCCCCCTTTCCTCCCCTCCCTTCTTTCTTTCTTCTTGTTTTCTTTTTCTTTCTTTCTTTCCTTTTTTCTTTCCTTTTTTCTTTCTTTCTTTCCTTTTTTCTTTCTTTCTTTCTTTCTTTCTTTCTTTCTTTCTTTCTTTCTTTCTTTCTTTCTTTCTTTCTTTCTTTCTTTCTTTCTTTCTTTCTTTCTTTCTTTCTTTTTGATGTAGGGCACATGTGCTCCTCAGAGAGACAGACAGAGTTAAAGGGACAGACAGAGAGAGAAAGTGAGAAATCACCCCCAGGGGTATGGCCACATTCCTTCTCCTCCATTCTTTTCTCAGGATTTTGGGAACACTGCGCACCTGCACACATGCTCAGCATGATGTTCAAATCACCAGGTCTGGGACTCAAACCTCAGAGCTGGCTATATGGGATCCAGCACCTTCAACTCCATGCCACCTGGTGGTCCAAGACTCTTATCTTTGTCTCAGAAATTTACAAAAAAGGTTCAATAGCTTTCCTGAGAATTAAATACAGTAATTTTCTAGCTGTTAAATACAACTTTTTAACACTTAAGACAGTAATGCCACTGTAGGTGGGGTTTCTATTTATTCAGGCAATCTCTAGAGAGAATGTTGTTTGAAATTACTGTAGAAGGTTCAAAATATTATTTGTTAGATTTTCAATACTTTCCACTCTTTTCTATATCTTTTGGTTGGCTAGGAAAAAAAAAAGCATATGCTTTCTTTGTGTCCCAAGGTAATATTGTATGAGGTACCATAAATATCTTCCTTCTGGAAATAAAAAATTAACTCATCAATTTCTTCTGGGTACATTTCCACACCACTTGAAGCAGATCACTTCTATTTCTGTGATTGAGCTCTACATGCCCCTCACTACCAGCTGTTGAGCATCTCATCTGTGTTCTCCTGGTCAGCTTGGCACACCGCTGTGCATAAGCAAAGCAGTTCCTGTCTTACTTTGCTACATAGCTGCATCATCCAAAGGGGCAGACACATAGGGCTGGGGAAGAACCACTGTCTGAGAGCCGCTCAGTCAAAGTGCTGATGAAGCTGCTTCCCAAATCTCAGTCAGTGGGTGAATAAGCATGTGGAATAGTGGCATGGCCTCAGGTGCTGGAACACAGCATCCTGGAACTCTTATTTGCATCTCCTTCCTGTGTGCAAGTATAAACTGTGGTGCTCAAAGGAACTGGCTGGGGCTTACCAGTAAATATAGAAGGGAAAATCTCTACAACAGTTACATTTTGTATTATGTTCTGATCTGGGGAGGTAAAGGGGAGAACAAAAAGATAAAAGAGTAAGATAGAAACAAGGTGTATGTGTTTTAATTTTTCTTTTTCTACTTTACAATTCCTTATTTATATTTAATTGGTGAACATCTTTGTGGGGCACAATATGGATTTTTAAAGGCATATTTAGAGTGTATGACAATGAAATAAAGGATAATACTATATTCATCATTTTCAGCTAAGAATACCACATTTGCAATATATGTGTAGGAGTGGCAATGTCCTTTGATTTCATTCAGTTGTGATATTTTTGACAGTTTCCTCCTACTTTGATACTGCTGTCTGTGTCCCAACTAGCTAAGATTACGGCCATGTGCAACCACGTCCTGCGTGTTCTGGTTGTCACTGGGAACCTAACCTGGGCCTCTAGGCAGCTTCCAGCCTCCTGAGTGGTGATACTGTCTGTGTGCCATTGGGTCTGGGCCATCAATTCTAGTTTTAAAAGAAGTAGTTTTCTTAATGCCATAAATTTAAAAATGGGGGAAAAGGAAAAAAGATAACTAAAATGAAGCATAACCACTGACAGAAACTCTCAAATACTTTTTCTTCTTTTTTTGAGAGATTTTTTTTTTTTTTTGCTATAGGGCCCATGTGCTCGCCAGAAAGAGAGAGAGAGGGAGAGACAGAAAGCGAGAAGTCACCCCCCATGGGGGATGGCCATGCCACAATTCCTTCTCCACCATTCTCTTCTTGGGATCTTGGGCACGCACACACACGTGCCTGGCATGAGTTTTAAGCCACCGGGTCTGGAACTTGAACTGCAGTTGACTATATGGGAGTCCAGTGACATAGCCATTACGCCAACTGCTGGTCCCCACAGATGAGATCTTAATTTACCTGTGCCAGGTATTCTTAAGCTTTTAAACCAAGACTGGTCAACTCTTTGAAAGAGGTTAATTTATAAGGACGTCAATTTACATGGATGATTAGACTGAAAAAAGCTTGTTTGGTTCTACATTTATACATGAAATGGGCTTCCAATGCTAAGTGGTCTCTTTGAAATACAATTGGAAAGGAGATGGTGAACTCCTGTTTATATCAATTTATACACTTTTTTTCTTTTTAAGGCACTATCTCACTGTGGTGATCTCCCTGTTTCAGCCTCCTAGCTAGGAATCTAAGCACATACAGCCAAACCTACGTTTTTAGGTTGGACTAGGAATTGAACTTGGGCTCCCAAGGGATCCAACCTACAGAGCACATCATCTTAGCATAGAATGCCTTTGCAGGTAGGCCATTTTGTATACTCTTATAAACATAATTTAATCCTTAAGCATTGACTAATACTACTCATCTTACTTTTCCCCCTTCTTCTGTGCAACTCGCTTCAGTTGCACCTGCCCATAGGCAAAGACTAGGTAATAGTTAGGGGCCAGTTTGTTCTGGCATGGGGCACTTTGAGAGGCCCAGAGGGACAAGCCTACCATAAATCCAAACTCATGTATACTATTCATATTTTCATTTAGATATTATTTTCCTATAGAACTATAAATCTCTTAAAAGGAAGAAGTGTGTGTGCATGTGTTTTTCTGGAATCTCAGTGTTCTCTGTAGTGAATACATAGTAAGTACTGATTATTGATGATAGTGAATAAGATTCCTTTGATTATTAAAAATACATATTTTCTCAAGGCAGAGATTTGGTAGTTTCACATATAATTCTTAGAGCTTAAAGCACCTTGCCAAGTTTGAACAGTGCTGCTAGTTTTTTCCTAAGTATCCCTCGCAGAGGATGTGGGGTAAATTCATATGTAGACAGTCTAGAGGATTAAAGCCTGAATGGCCTGATGCAATGTAAATACTCATATGTTATCTTAAAAATTTATATAACGCTTACATTTTGATACATATTATGTGTAAGTGCAAGAATTATAGTTTTATATTTCCTAAGTTTGGGAAAAAAAGAATTATTTTTCTTGGGTTGCCAGAAAAGCCATGATGTATTTTTCTACGCAAAAATGCATCATGACTTTTCCAATGACCCATGGAAAGACTAGAGACACCTTAATGGCCAAGATGTTGTTGTAGTAAGATTATAATTTTGGCAGAGTAGGCTAGATGAACAGATTCTACATAGTACAATTAGTTCTCATCTCACTCTTGAAGTCTATACATAGATATATAGATATAGATTTTTGCTATAGGACATGTCCACTCACGAAAGAGACAGAGAGATAGAAAGCGAGAAATCACTCCCCAGGGGGGATGGCCACACCAAAATCCTTTCTCTTCCACTCTTCTCTCAGGATTTTGGGCACACAAACACATGCACCCAGCATGTTTCAAGCCTCCAGGTCCCAGACTCAAACCACGGTAGACTATGTGGGAATCTAGCAACATAACTATTATACCATCTGATGGACCTAATGTCACAATATTTTTAGGATTAAAACTTACAAATATACAAAAGGCAATATCCCTCATTTCCAAGTTCTGTACTCAGGCTGCCTGTGTCCAAAACTTGCCTCTGCTATCAGCAGAATGACCTTTGGTGAGTTACTTAGGCTTTCTGTGTCCTAGTGTCCTTAGTGGCAGATGATAATTGATAATAATTGAATACATCAGTGCATTAGTTCCCCATAAGCGTTAATGAATGGAACATGTAAAACACTTGGGATAAATCTTTGCATATATTCTCAATAAGTGACAGTTCTTATAAGGTAATACTGAAGAGGATTGTTCAAAATGTTGACAAGAAATCAGCATGATACAGTCTTTTCAGGCTACAGATGTTGAAGATTTTCCTCAGTATCTTCTTGCTAAGAGATTATTTCACTTCCTATGTGGTGGGTTGTAAAGTGTTTGTATCCATTGGTGGGAAATTTCCTATCTCAGGGAACTACACAAAGGCTTACTCAGTGAAGAAAGACGACTAATGTTTTTTTTTTTTTTTCACCATTAACACTGTAATTTTTATCACATGTAAATGAACTGATTCTCAAGTGACTCATGGTACCCACAATCAACTCGTTATCCAACAATCAAACTTTATTATAATTGCAGCCATCTCCTCATGTTTAGTGAAAGCATTTAGTTTAACCATGTAGTCATTGATTTAGTGTTGTGCCCCCAAAAGGTATTTGCTAAATAAGTCAAATTTGTGAAGCCCTCTTTAGTGATGGGGTGGACAAGGAATCAATCCGCCATGGAGAGATGTTTATTCTTAGTAGTGGTATATTTTCCCTACGAAGAAAAGTAACTCACTTCTCAATTTAAAATTTCTGATAACCACCCTGTTTCAGCTGAGCCAGCATATTGATGTAACAGCAAGATTTCAATATCATTTTATGGTCTATTTAGCTAAAAAGAGCCTTATTCAAACTAGGCTTTCCTTTTTTTAGTGGGAGAGTTCAGGAATATTTTTTAGTGTAGACTTTGTTTTAAATCACTATGTTATGATTACATTAAAACCACTGGAGTTCAAGAAGCAAACTCTGCATATACAAAGTGAATAATCACTAAGAATATGGTTGTGGTCTCTAGTTGAGGTGATCAGAACAGGCTCCATCAGTGAGTATGTCCTCATGGAGCCTCTTCCAGTTGATATATAATGCTCACTAAAATGTCACACCCTCTCTTCATACTCATAATACATTTCCACATATATGTATTTATAGTACACACACACACACACACACACACACACACGAATAATGACTCCTGTGCTTTCCTCTTTCTTTAAAGTACTGAATCGGATTCATGTCAGCTCCCACCTTGTTTTGGCTCAGGTATATCGACTGGACATATTTAGAAGCATTGTTTGACAGGGCTATTCAATAGGAGTACCTGCACAGGTCAGCTGCTAGTTTTGTTTCTAAAAAATTCAGTCATTCTGTTTCATGAGACATCAAAATTTCTATTCTCATTATTCTGCAGTTCTGTACTTTTTTTTGGACTGTGCTTTCTAGAATTGCAGTGGTTCTGGAATAGGAGAGAGCTGGGCTTGAGTTACGAAGGTCTGCCTTGTATTGGCTTTGTGGCATTAAGTAACTTAACCTCTGCCTTAGTTTGTAAGATGGAGAAATGAGATTAATTTCACTCAGTAGCTGTAAGGACTGGAAGAAAACATACATACTGCTATCATTACTACTAACCATAGCAGAGTGCTAAGGGAAAAAGCACTTAATATTATCTGTAATCCCAATCATAATCATTGTTCCATTACTATTATTGTTATTACTCCAGAACAAACTTCTGTCTTCTTATTACTTGAGGACTTTTCTTCAAAATTTCTCTGAGTTTAAAAATATAATCCCAAGTGTGACTGGCTTATTTAGCAATTGCTGGGGTTCTTACGTAGGAGTTACGTTTTGAGCCTTTGCCATTCAAACTGAAGTTCATAGACCAACAACATCTCATCATGTGGTGGGTGGTTAGAACTGAAGATCTCAAGCCCCACTCAAGACTTACTGGATCTGAATTCGTATTTTAACAGTATCTCCCAAGGGGCCAGCCAGTGGTGTGGTGACAATGCAATGCTCTGCAATGCTGAACCCATACTGGATGGTCTAGGTTCTCATCCCGAGCTCTCCCTGTGCTTGTGATCTGGATTGGACTATGGTGTGAAGACCTATTTGGAGATTTCTTTCTCTCTCTCTCTCTTCCCCTGGGAATAAATAAATGAAAAACAAGCCGAGTTAGGAAGCACTGGTTCCGGGTACACTGAGTTGTGAATCTGAGGGTCTGAGCCACTAGGCAATGCGACTGGTGTGCAGAGGTCTACTCCTGAGAGCCAGAAGGATGTGCTGTGTTCTACTGAAGCACCAGTGGGAGAAAGGATCACAAACGCTTTGCTGAACTCTAGTCCTTTTCATGCTTCTCTCTCTTATTGCCCTCTCCATGTCTCTTCCCCATTTGGGTAGAAATTAGTACTCCCTCCTTGATGTCCACACAGTGTTAACATGCATGCCTGCCACTTTGAATTGTAATTTGTGTACAAGGCACTTCTCTTCCTGGACTCTGAAAGCCTGAAGAGTTTCCCCTGGTGGAAGCAATTTTTCCAGGAAGTCTCTGTAGATAGCCTGTGGGAAAGCACCGTGTGCTGGCCGGCCTTCTCTGACCTGCAATTCCATTTTGACTTAGAGCTTTGTCGTTTATGAGATTTTTCTACAAACTTCTGAGCTCTTTGAGGGCAGAGGCTAGGTCATCCATCAGTACTTGTAGTACACATGAAAGGATAATTGTGAGTCTCAATTAAGCTCCAACCACTCATTTTTTGTGAGCTCAGAGGAAAAACATTTGCTTTAATGAGGTAAATGACTCATAAAATTTAACTCACATTTCTTTTCCTTAAATGTTGGTATACATTGACATTTTTGTATTTTGGAATATAGTGTAAGCCAGTATTTAATTTTGCACATAAATGTTGAGTGCATGAGTGTGTTTTAGAGATTTTTGCTACAGGGTGCCTGTGCTTACTAGAAAGATAGATAGAGAGAGAGAGAGACAAAGAGACAGAAAGGGAGAAATCATCAATAGAAGGGATGGCCACACTGCAATCCCTTCTCTTCCATTCTCTCTTGGGATTTTGGGCACACAAGCACACTGTGAGTTTAAACTGCTGGGTCTGGGACTCAAACCATGGTCAACTACGTGAGAGTCCAGTGACATAACTATTATGCCATCTGCTGGTCCCAGTGTGTGTGTGTTTTAAAAGAGAGTTTCCCCATGCCACAATCCTCCTGCCTCAGCCTCCCAGGTCAGCAGAACCACAGATGTGCACCACTGGGCTAGATGCTTTAGGGTGGGCCAAGAACTGAACCCAGGCCTCTCATGTGGCTCCCACCTGCCATGACGTAGCATTTACAATGTGCTACTAGGGCTGGACCATAATTCTACACACAAATTTAAAAATTAGTAATTTTGATGCTAATATTATCAAGAGTGTATGGCAAAAAGTACCATGAATAAGCTTGAGAACTAGTGACCTCTATGTATTAGATTATCAGGAAAGTCATGATGTATTTTTCTGTGCAAAAATGTGTCAAGGATTTCCC